ACACTTCTACACAATCTGATCAAGACAAAGTTTTCATATTTAATTAAATGGTCTTTTAAAAAATCTTGTTGCAAAAATGTTTGCTGTTACTCGTTTAAAGCCTTTTTCTGTAACGAAAAAAGAAAGTATGCTAGATACACTTACTGGAAATGTGAAGATATGATTGAATCTATTAATTTTCTCATGGACAACATATATGTACGTTTTCGATAAAGTGTATCGACAGGTAGTAGGTATTCCTATTGGCACTAATTGCGCCCCTTTAATAGCAGATTTATTCCTGTATTGCTATGAATCTCAGTTTATGACCAAACTCAGTAAAGACACGTCATTGTTACATTTGGTTGACACATTCACAATACCTTCCGTTATCTTGATGATATTTTTTCGTTAAATAATCCAGAGTTCTCTAAATATACTACCGAAATTTACCCAAAGGAACTTACTATAAATAAATCTAACATAAACAGCAGTATAGTTGTCCTTTTCTAGATTTAGACATTTCAATTTCTAAAGGGAAACTCCGTACTAAAATTTACGACAAAAGAGACGATTTTTCATTCCCTATTGTTAATTTTTCTTTTTTAGACGGCGATGTTCCTTTGGCTCTATCATACAGTGTTTATATATCCCAACTCGTTCGTCATGACCGTGTGTGTAGTGATGTCATATACTTTACCGTACGTAATCAATGCATCACTGGTAAATTATTAAGACAGGGATTTCGTTACAATATTTTTTTTAAAACTTTTACTAAATTCTTTCATAGATACAAATATTTGATTAGTAAATTTGGTTGTACCTGTAGAAATCTTATTAAAAACGGTATTTCACATCCTAAATTTTACGATAATATTGTACTAAAAGCGCGGAAATCACTATGTGATCCGTGTTAACTCATCGAACCTTTCAACAAACTTATTAGTAAAGGTTATCTTATTAATGTTGTAATAAGATCTTTGAATATTGTTGACATTGGCACAAATATCAATGTTGTCATCAACAAATTAAAACATAACTAAATTCGAATAGTTTTTTGAATGTATAAATACACATCCACGTTCTTTTTTTATATAGAGATTGCTTTATTTATATATAACATTATACATATTTATTCTAAGGTTAAATCCAAACTATCCTACTGCCTGTCGATACTTTTATTTTGGCATTGCACAAGTCATGTCTTCTTTGACTGTCCATGGCGTTAAAACACTTAATCCCTGGAATGTGTTTTAGTTGATTTTAGTCTCTGATAAATGATTTTTTATTATTAATTGTTTTTGGCTTTTAACTAGCTTTCAGTAGCTGCGAGTACTCTCAAATCGTACTTTCGTGTTAATTTGACCTGTTACACAATTTGTAATGCATTTTTGTTATTCAATGTTTACTTATTTTGTGTTATATCTCGTCTCACTATTTTTAATATGTACCACCTGTGATAAGTATTTATTATGACGATAAATTTGCACTGCTGTTCTCGTACTATGAACAACAAATTTATTTGTTTTGTAAAAAATATCTCCGTACTCCTAACAACAAAATTATTATATTTAAAATTACCTTTATACGTTATTTTATTTAACGCCATTTTGTCCAAGGTTATAGTTGTCTTTTTGACATTGAATCATAGATCAAATTTATTCGTTCAGTGTATGTTTACTTGTTTTTGTTAATATGTCTTTTTGATTGAGTTAAGCCATTTTAATTGATATTTTATAGTGTGTCTTTCTATTTTGTAATGTTACACTACTATTTCAGGTTGGGTGAAGGTTAGCGCCTGTTAAAACGTTTCAACCCGCTGCATTTGTTTGCACCTGTCCTAAGTCAGGAACCTGTTTCAGTGGTTGTCGTTTGTTGATGTGGTTCTTAAGTGTTTCTTGTTTGTCGTTTTTTTATAAGGAGTATACCGTTGGTTTTCCTGTTTGAATTGTTTTACACTAGTCATTTTGGGGCCCTTTATAGCTTGCTGCTCGGTGTGAGCCAAGGCTCCGTGTTGAAGGCCGTACTTTGACCTATAATTATTTACTTTTTACACATTGTGAATTAGATGGAGAGTTGTCTCATTGGCACTCATACCACATCTTCTTATTTATGTATAAGTTAATATTATATATACATGTAGTAAATGATTAATAGTAAATCGAATAACTGCTACATACAAAAAAAAACTGAAAAAAAAACACAGAAGTTTAATCTTTAATTATACGTCAGTGTAAAAAATAATACTCCCCTAACTTAAGACTGTAAATCGTCGAATTTTAAAGATGATCCCTATAGCCATGTTATTACGGGGGACCTCAATATCGTTCAAGACCGAGAGGTTAAATATTTTTAAGAAAAGAACCAAAATAACGTCCTCAATCTAAAATACATTGCAAACAGTGTCGTCAGGTCATAAAAGATGTTCTTTCATCTTATTGTATTATTATTGTAAACGGGAAAATCTGATAAAAAATCTCTTGATTCTTATCTAAATAAATGTTGTCGATATTCGAATATCACATTTTGAAAATTATTTAAAAATAAATAAAAGAGTACGTGATACGCCTATTTCTAGAATAAGAAAGAAATTTCAAGAACTTACAAAGCGGTTTCTGTTTGTACAGGCCGACAAAGCCTATAGTAAAATAGTAAACAGTCATATCAAAATCAAATCACAGCTTTAGGCCTCTTCTGAACATTTGAAGGTCCCTGCTATGCATTGATTACCTAAACTACACAAAAAATCCGTAAAATATCGTTTCATCTCGGCCTCTTGTAAGTGTTCTAAAACTAATCTTTCAGTGCTTTTAATTAGTTCCTTAACTACTATCAAAGAACCTATCATTAACTATTGTAATAAAACATATAAAACACATGAATTAACTATTTTTGGAGTGTAAAAAGTTATTTGGATGTTTTAGATAAATTACGTGCTTTTGGTGATCCTTTTGATTCTGTTGACAGTTTTGGCTTTTCAACTCTTTACACTTCACTTCCACACATTCTTATCAAACAAGAGTTTTCCTATTTAATTGAATGGTCGTTTGAAAAATCTAATTTCAAATATATTTGCAGGATTTGCTGCAACTCATTTAAAGCCTTTTCTCTAATGAGAAATGTAAACATACTAGATATATATATATACTTACTGGAGGTATGATGAGATGATTGAAGATCTTAAATTTATCCTTGATAACATGTATATACGTAACTGCGAGTACTCTCAGATATGTACTTAGATTCTTTTTTTGGGATGTATAAATACCCTGCCACGTCCGGTTTGCGTTTTTGTTACTTGCTTTTCTGCTTTGTATCGATCTGATGAGTTAAACCATTTTATACTGATTTTTATAGTTTGTTCATATGTTGTGCTGTTACACAACTGTCCCAGGTTAGGAGGAGTGTTGAGCGCCCGCTAACATCTTTAACCCCGCTACATTCTATATGTGCTAGTCCCAAGTCAGGAGCCTGTAACTCAGTGGTTGTTGTTTGTTGCTGAATATCATATTTGTATTATGTTCATGATTGTTTTTTTTTACATAAATTAAGCCGTTAGTTTCTCGTTTGAAATTGTTTTACATTTGTCATTTCGGGGCCTTTTATAGCTGACTATGCGGTATCGGTTTTGCTCATTGTTGAAGGCCGTACGGTGACCTATAATTGTTAACTTCTATGTCATTTGGTCTCTGGTGGAGAGTTGTCTCATTGGCAATTATACCACATCTTCTTATGTTGATATTTATCCGAAAACTTGTCTATTTTGAATAGAAACTCCAATCCCGACGGTAGATAGTTTACACAAACTTCACTGTCTTTATATTCCTGTATTTATCATAGTTTTCAGAGTGTACAGTTCATTTAATCATTGATCAATCTTTATAGGAAAGAATTTCCAAAAGAAAATCAGAGTACTTAATATTCTGATACGGAATAACACAGTTCTTCCCTTTTGATAAGAAAAAAGAAGAGAAACAAGAAATTAAAAAAGTGTTTCAAATTATAAATAGGCGGATTTATATAAGTCACAGATACACCAGAAAAAAACAATTGAACAACAATCAAATCACAACCTTTATCAATGAGTCTATTTAGCAAAAATAAATTATTTGGAGAGAAATTCCCATATAAATAGTATTACCATACAATGCTGTGTTGAAAAAAGATTCTATTTATTGAATTTATGCAGATGGAATATTTTCGCCATTAATTTCTATATAATTGACCAATGGGATAACAAAATGTTAATTGACTATGTAATTTTCTCAGATTTAAATGTTCTGGTGCTTAAAATATATCCGATTTGTTGGGTGTTTTTCTTTCGTATAGCAATGCACCATTTTTAAACAAAAACTGTACTATGAAATAAGCTTCCGTTTAAAAACTATGCAGATATGATCATACGATCATCCAACATAAACTGGAAGTCAAATATGAAAAAAAATCCCACGGATCACCCGATCTTGGAACCTGTAATTCAGTGGTTGTCGTTTGTTGCTGTATATCATATTTGTTTTTCGTTTATTATTTTGTACAAAAATCAGGCCGTTGGTTTTCTCGTATGAATTATTTTACATTTGTCATTACGGGGCATTTTATAGCTGACTATGCGGTATGGTTTTGCTCATTGTTGAAGGCCGTACGGTGACTTATAGTTGTTAATTTCTGTGTCATTGGCAATCTTACCACATCTTCTTTTTTTTTACATATAGTATAATTCAGAAGAAATATTCAGTGTGTTCCCGGAATGTTAGTACGTTAGTTATACAGTAAAATGTTAGCACTAGTCAGGTGAACAACGTACTTCTATTATTAATCAGATCAGAGACATATTTGTATGTAAAATTAAGCAGATGTGGTATGATTGTCAATAAGACAACTATCCATCAGAGTTCAATTGAAGTTGTTTATATTTCACTGTCCATATCAAGGATGGGAACAGCTTCCTGAATATAACTGCTTTGGTTAATTGTTATCAAATAATCCAAATTTATTAGAGTTAACCATGTTTTTTTTTTTAGGTTTTCGTTGAGAAAAAATTGTATCAGAAACTGTGGACAGACTGAAAACTATATTACAAGCAAAATAGTGTAATTCAAAAATGTTCAACTGCTCACAAATTATGAGCAATAATTTGTGGTATTTTTGAAAGTATATACACGCGCATCTATATGACTGCTTTTTTTAATATTATTTGTTTCATGAGTTTTGCCTTAAATGTTAGTTGTTCGTTTAATGGACCACAAAAAACCCATCGCTTATGTGTATGTTCAATGACTTTGAAAGAAAATGACAAGAGGTTATCCAAAGCAAATCAGTATTTAAGCATATTAATACTAATTAGATAATAAACCTTTTTAATCAGAATAAGTAGTCTTACTTTAACTTGATTTGTTGATGTTATACGATATATCAACTGAGTTGTTTGTCTTTAACGCCTCTTTCTGCAGTATAACTAAATGCAGGTATATGTGTCTTTTTCATTTGTATATGTTACAGGCATTTTCTAAATTTAGGCCTTTTGTAAAATGACTAAATTTTAAGGCATTATATAAAATAACAAAAAATACCTAGGCATTTTGTAAAATGACATACAAATTTTAAAAAAAATCTAGATTCAAAATAGAATTGTGTAATATAAATGAAACAGAGATAAAGAAGGACGTTTTTTGTTTGACTGATTGGCATAACTTGATAGTAAATCAAATGGATAAGTTCTTAACCCGTATAAAGGACAGGAATTCCGACCGACGCTTGAAATGAAGGTATGTTGGATATATAGGGACAGAAAGGTTGCCTTCCAACATGCCACCCACGGAACGGTCAAAGAGTTTTTAACGTGCATAAATCGTGGCACTCTTCTTACACGAGGCATCAGATTTAGCCAAATAGCATGGTTTTCACCATACAAGGCCGCATTTAGTTGCGATGCAAAGCTGAGTCTTTTAATATCACTGCATCAAGAGAATTCTTCTTCTTCTTTAAGTTTCTGTCGATCCTTCATTGATTGAAGATTATTCGCCGGGCATTGACAATAAAATTTGATTTGTAATTTACAAGGTAAACCAATAAAGGAAACAAAATCAAAAATCTAAATAATATATGTACATTTGAAAAATAACATTTAGGTAAACAATATACATTTGATAACCATAACGGTTAAGGGTAAATGCTGGGATCATACTCTTGAAACCCTGTACTGTACTGCATGAAACGATTTGTTGATGCAAATGATTCCAATTTATAATTGTACGCGGATGAAAATGAATATTTATAACTGTTTTAGATGTTTGTATTTGCCTAAATGAGTATGGGTTGCTATGTTTGGTTCTATTGTCTAGTGGGATCAAAAGGTCAAATGTAGGTACTGCAACAATTTCATGTATAATTTTGTAAAAGAAAACAAGTCTGTATCTTAATCGCCTTATTTCAAGTGGGTACCAATTTAGGTCTGTCATCATATCGTTAACTGAGCTGGTGTTGTGGAAACGGTTGCTTGTGAAGCGGGCTGCTCTTCCCTGTACTTTTTCAATTTGTGAAATTTGTTGTTTTTGATGTGGATCCTAAATAGTTGAGCAGTACTCTAATTTTGGTGGGACAAAAGCTTTGAATGCATGAGCTTTAACTTTGTGTGATGGTATTTGATGGTTTCTGCAAATAATTCTGCTGATTTGCTTTAGATGTCATGTTATCGATATGTTTATTCTATTTCAAATTTGATTGAAGAGTTAGGCCTGAATATTTTGAAGAATTAAGTTTTTTGAGTGAGTGATTATATAATTTGTAAGTGAAGTCTAGAGGTTTCGTTTTTGTATTAAACTGAGAATGTTACATTTATAGTGAAAATTCACGAGTCGGTCCCGTTCCCATCTGCCGGCCACTTCTAAATTAGACTGTAATTTATTTGTGTCATCTATCTTTCTAATTTCCTTATAAATAATGCTGTCATCTGCAAATAATCTTAATGTACAATGTTTGATATAATCTGCTAAATCATTAATATATATTAAGAATAAAATTGGTCCAGGCACTGTGAGGTACTCCAGATGTTGCAGGAATTTTATTTGATTTTTCACCTTCACCTTTTGTGTTCTGTTTGTTAAAATTTCTTGAATCCAATGTAATGCATTGCAATTTATACCATAGAAGCCGATTTTATACTTGATGTGGGGGTCTCAAACTTTGCAAAATGCTTTTGCAAAAACCATTATTTTGATGTCAGTTTGGATGTTTTTATTATTTGAAATTGCAAGATCTTGAATAAATGATATTAACTGAGTTTCACAGGAACGGGATGATCGAAAACCATGTTGAAAGTTATAAAGAATCTATTTGTTTCTAGATGTTTCATTATATTACTAGCTACAACATGTTCTAAAAGTTTGCAGTAGATGCATGTTAATGATATGGGGCGAAAGATTATAGGATCGTGTTTGTCGCCTTTTTTGAATGATGGACATACACTTGCATAACGGCAGTCATCTGGGATCTTTCCAGTGTTCAGTGATATTTGAAAAATGATTTACAAGATGGGAGTGATTGATGTCTTGCACTCTTTTAAGATTTTTCCATGGATGAGATCAGGCTTAGCTGCTTTGTTAATTTTGATATTGTTAAGTATATATGTAGATTTTACGTGGCTTGGTTTGGCATATTTTTAGTGATAGCAAACAATCTATATATGCAATATCATAGTCTGCCTCTCCTAATGGTGACATGGTTTCAGTTTTTTTTTCAATAATGGCTGGATGATTTGTTAACACAAGATATAATATTTTATCATTTCGAGCTGTAATATTTACAACTTGTGTTAATTAATGGTCATTTATTATGTCTAGAAGTTGCTGATGTTTTTTTATGTTTGTTTTTCCAGGGATGACTCTAGATGTTTCCCAATTGATGTTTTGGAAGTCCCCACCAACAATTATGGCTGAAATTGAGCTGGTGTTTATTCTACATAATGAATCGTTGAGCAAATCTAAGGATATGTCATCATTTGGTTGAGGTCGATAAAAAGCACGTATATAACATTTACGTGCATATGATATCAATAGTTCATCCAATATCATTTCACATCCTGTCTTGAGTTCTTTGATTTCTGTGCATAAAAAATTGCTATGAGTACGCCTCCGTGACATTTCCCTTTTTTATTTGGTGGTCTATCTTTTCTGAAAACCGTGTATTTATCTTTTGAAAAATGTTTATATAGTGATGTTTTAGGGTCTTAACCAGGTTTTAATACTTATTTTTATATCAGGTTGTGTGGTATTGATCAAAATATCTACTTCTGGTCTTTTGTTCTTAATAGACTGGAAGTTAATATTTACTATTTTTAAAGGTCTAAGTAACTTATTTTTGGTCTTTGTAACTTTTTTGTTTTGTTTTCTGTTGTCCTTTTGTAAGATTGGCGATGAACATGCATGAGGCTGTCCAGGACTACCAATGTCACTTAATGATTAAAAAAAAAATGTTTGTGACAGATGATGATAGTTCAGTCTGGTTAAAAAATTAACTACTTAAGTTTGGGAGTCCACATTTAATACAATTCCAGGTCAGGTTACTGTTGTCCATTATGCTGTACATTGTTGTTTGCATACATCCTTGACAGTCTACATGATGCCAAGTTTGACAAGAATCACACTCTAAAGCTACTAGTACATGAAAATTAAAGCAGAACTAAAGCAAATTAGTTTGCGAACTTTTGTTGAATGATTACCATTTTTTTTACCGAAAGTGGAATACATGACAAGTATTCACAAGTACATGTACTCACAGCTGATATGCAAGAAAGGTATTTGAATGTTTTTTTTCTATATTGAAATGTACTCACTACTATAAATTTATCAAATGTTTTTCGAAAAAAAATCACGAGCAATTTGGGGTTCGTCTATGGCGACCGACGAATGCGCACTAATCTTGTGTCCTTTAAATCTGATGAATTAAGGCGACAGTAGTTTACCTATTTTGAAATCAGGAAAATCGACCAAGAAGAGACAAATCAAGGTTACACACTCAACCTGTGGAAATCGCATGCACTCTAAAAAAAAAAGAGTCGACAGAGTAAGCGTCTCCTCCTTTGCATGTAATCACCCGCCTTTCGAAGATCTGATTCAGCCTGTTCAATGCTCTGATAAGCCAATAGCTGTAACCTAACCATTCTAATGTTACTTGGAATTTTTTTGGAACACACGGAAAAGAAGATATTCATGTGTGTAATGTTTGCGAAACCTCATTTTGTAAAATGCGTGAAGAAATATTAGTCAATTCATAAAAAAACATGTAGAAGGTAGACTGGATTTTGCTTATTGTTGAAGGTCGTATGGTGATCTTTACTTGTTTACATCCTCGCCTTTTTGGCACTGGAAGAAGATAATCATACAACATGTACAATGCACATCTCCTGATTTTATATAAATGATATCCCATACTATTTTTTGTATTGTTTATTTTCATTGTTTGAATAGGGCATTCATTTACCATGGCTCTTCGATCTTTCAATGAAAAAAATTCAAGCCATCAGGAGGCTTTAAGCTCCTCTCCGTTATCATGTAGGTGGGTACGTGGTGTGTACGAGCATGTTCGCTATAGGTTTGTCATCTTAATAATAATAATAATAATAATAATAATAATAATACACTGTCAGTATATACATAGATATAAGAAGATGTGGTATGAGTGCCAATGAGACAACTCTCCATCCAAGTCACAATTTGTAAAAGTAAACCATTATAGGTCAAAGTACGGCCTTCAATACGGAGCCTTGGCTCACACCGAACAACAAGCTATAAAGGGCCCCAAAAATGACTAGTGTAAAACCATTCAAACAGGAAAACCAACGGTCTAATCTATATAAAAAAACGAGACACGAGAAACACTTATGAACCACATCAACAAACGACAACCACTGACCATCAGGTTTCTGATTTAGGACAGGTCCAAACAAATGCAGCGGGTTTAAACGTTTTAATAGGGTCCAACCTTCACCTTAACCCGAATCAATAGTGTAACATCACAACAAAGAAAGACACACTATAAAATATCAATTGAAATGTCTTAACTCAATCAAAAGACATATTAACAAAACCAATGACACAATGTAAATACAAAATTAATAAAACAAGGGAGTTAGATGTAAAACAATATCAGAAAGACAACCATAACCTTGGACAAAATGCCGCCAAATAAAATAACGTACACAAGTTAATAAAAATCATTTTGTTGCAAGGTATACATGGAGTACGGAACTATTTTTTACAAAATAAATAATTTTGTTGTTCATATTACGAGAACAGAAGTGGAAATTTATCGTAAACATTAAATAACAAAAAATGCATTACAAATTGTATTAACAGGTCAAAT